AGCCATACTTTAATTCTGTCTTCAACTATGATTGGAATAGTTTGAGACCCAGTAGATAATTCTGACCAGGAGGTATCAGTAGACAGCTAGAGGGAGAAAATGTTAAAACAGCACAGTTAGAGGGAGAAAATGTTACACGGCCTTGCCAATAACAAAATAAAAAATGACAATAAAAAGGATAGTGACAAAGAGCCTTTCCATGGGATGTTTATACTTCTTGATTTATGTAATTTGGTATTTAATATACATAGAAATTCAATGACTATCTTAGCTCCCCTCCCCCGATATAAATATTTCTTCTGTTTTAGACTAAAGGTGCCTACAAGACCAGGCAGTGTCCACATTTCTTTCCTGAATGTTTAGAACAGGGCTATGTATAAAGCAAACATCTAGTAAATACTAATATAATGACCTACTTTATTAGTATAGAATAATTTCACAGGCTTTCCTATTGGTTTGTCTGATCCTAAGCCTAATAATACCTGCTTACATGTCAGAAAATCAGCTTTAGAAACTTTTTTGAAGCAAATAATAAGATATTACTTGGATATATGTTTTAAAACTCACCTTTGGCATTGAGATAACAATCCCTTAAGTAAGGAAAAAAGTCCATTTTTAATCTCAACCCCCCTGACAAAAAAAAAGTCCAAGAAGTTAAGAGTCCAATTGATCAATAGCATTTCTCTCTTCTTTATTTAAATTTATATTTTTTTCATTGTACATCGTTATGGGGTACAGTTTGTTGTTTCAATACATGCATATATTGTATATAATCTAATCAGAATAGTTAGCATGTCCATTACCTAAACATTTATCGTTTCGTTGTGGTTATAACATTCAAGATCCTCTTTTCTGTATATCTTGAAATATAATACAATATTATTATTTACTGTCACCCTAGGGCATCAGAACTGATTCTTCCTATCTAACTATAACTTTGTAACTTTGTACCAGTCTACCAACTATTCCCTGGCCCCCCCTCACCTCTCCGTTTCCTTGACTCTGGTAGCCACTATTTTACTCTATAGGATTTATTTATAAATTTCTTTTTCTTTTTTTTTTTTT